GATGATGATGATGATGATGATGATGATGATAATAATAATAATAATAATAGCAGCTAACTTTTTATTTAGATGTCTACTATATTCCAGGCACTACTGTGATCCATTTACGTGAATTAAATCATAGAAACCCTGTGGTAGATTCTGTTCTTGGTCCCATTTTCCAGATTTACAGATTACTGAAGCATAGAGGTACTTGCCCAGGGTCAATGATTATGTGTGATAAATACTCACTGATGTTCCTATACTCTGGTCTTTCCACAGACGGGGACACAGAGAGTGTCTTATTAGTTGGACCCAGAGCTCCCGCCACAAACCTCTTAATTCCTTTAAGAAAAGAAAAACAAGTGTGAAATCTTTAAACAGCTCAACCTTTTTGTTGTGAATCAATAAGCTATAAGATTTTTTCCTAGAACACAGTCCTACAATCCTTTGTCCACAACTCTGAAATCCAAAAAGCTTTTAAAGTCCAAAATTTTTCTTGAATTCATTCGACAACAAAATTTGACCTCTACTGAACTAGTCTTTATCTTCATAGACTATCTTCATAGTCTTTATCTCACTTAGTGGGATGACTCACAGATTTTACTAATATTTGATCATGGGAGCTGCCTTAGATCCCACTGGTGAAATTATGCAATATAGGAAAGATGCAAATACAAACGGTCTTCAGAAAGTTCCTGAAAAGATTTGTATTACCTTTCAATTCCATTTTTCCACAAACTTTCTGAAGTACACTAGTATTATCACCAAGCTAATCCAAAAAACTGAATTCCCACACATCTGACCTCAAAGCATTTCAGTAAGTAATCCTTTTCTATCACCACAGCTATGTTTGGACAAATTATCTTTCTCCCTATTCTTAAGAAACCACGAAGGTCCTGAATTTTACATAGGTTCTGTAAGAGTGCATCACAGTGGCATTCAACTTGAAATGCTCTCTAGTACCATATTGCAAGCCCGTTGCTGGGGGGAAATATTAAATCAGGATTAATAATTATAAAGCCCAAAATTTAAGTATGAAGCAGATCAAATCTTACCTGAATAACTTTTGAATAACCTCTCCTCGAGGCTGAGTCTAAGTACTTCTAAAATGGCCCGGGAAGTTATGTTCATTTCCATATCACAACAGAAGCCAGGGGTCACATTGGTCATCACCTCTGGTGATTTTAGCCACTCAATTACCTGGGCTATGTTTACAATTTAACTGGAGAAGACTATCAAGTAGTTGATAACCTAGCCTTTGAAAAGGTTACAGACCCAAATAGTCTTTATCTTCCTAAAGCTGAGCAATAATGCAGGTATAAGAAAAATGTCCTTATCTCTCCCTGCTTTAGCCGATTCAGTATCTTCTGAACTGCGACTGTTGGGGTAATAGTCTATGCATTTCCATGGATTTAAACATCTCTAAGAAACAGAGTTCCTGTAAATTACTTTGGTCTTCATTCGTATGCCACGTGTAACTTCCTAACAATTTTGCTTTACATGCTTCCTGTTGGCAATAACTTCACATTTCCAAATCTTAAGGGGCTCCACACATATCTTCTATTCCTTTCCCTCTCTCAAAGCCTCCTACCAGCTGGTGCCCAAGTGTTCTGATGGCAGCCAGCCAGAAGGTTAGCTATTTCAAGTCCCAGCAAGACTGAATCTAATGCCACACTCTTCTGTGTGCTGCATGGAGCCTTCAAGGACATCAGTAGTGTAATGGAAAACACTCAAAAGGCAATCTCTCTACCTAAATAAGCCAACCATGGGGAGGAGGGTGGCCTTAAAAGGATGAGATCGAATATCCTAACTATAACCAAAATAATCAAAACAGCCAGTTGTTACTTTAATAACCTGACAATGTGCTTCCAAAGGGAAAAAAATCACTTTAGCTCTAAATATACAAGACAGTCATGGGCCTACCTACAATGTCAGACTATAACTACCAGCAGGGTAAAAGAGTAAACCCTGAGTCCAAGGCCCACACGGGTAGCATTGACTCAGATGTTGAATGCTCAATTATGAAACTGCAAAAAAGTAACCTACAAACATGTAAAATACTGTGTCTACAATGTTGCTCATAGGCAACATTTTTGGGTCATGTACGAAAAAACTGCATTAAGAAGAGCCCATTATAGCTGAGAACATCAAAGGAATCATGTGCACAAAAAAGGAAGAAGAATGTTCCTTACCGGACTGGAGAGTTATCTCCTCGGCGGCTTTTCTGGCCACTCCCGCGGAGCACTTGTTCATCCGGTAGGCCTAGTACATCAACAGCAAACATTAGCTTGTCCTCCTTTCACTTCATATGGTAAGTAAGGAATGCGTGACCATCTGATATGAGCACTTGTTCATCCGGTAGGCCTAGTACATCAACAGCAAACATTAGCTTGTCCTCCTTTCGCTTCATATGGTAAGTAAGGAATGCGTGACCATCTGATACCCAGTTTTATTCAATAAGGAAATGCAGAGCGAATCAATCTGAGGTCTGAGTGAAATCTTAGCCCAGAAGACATATCAGCTGCCCAGCCTTCAAAGGCAGCAGAGAAAGGCAAGAGTTTTTTTTTTTTTTTTTAAAAGATGACCGGTAAGGGGATCTCAACCCTTGGCGTGGTGTTGTCAGCACCACGCTCAGCCAGTGAGCGAACCGGCCATCCCTATATGGGATCCGAACCCGTGGCCTTGGTGTTATCAGTACCACACTCTCCCGAGTGAGCCACGGGCCGGCCCAAAAGGCAAGAGTTTTGAGGAACTGCTTTTAGGTTCTCCCAAACCATGCGCTGAGTGGTGAAAAGGGCAATCTGCAAATCATGCTAGAGAATAAGCTGATGTAGTTAAATATTCTGAGAAATTAGAAAAAGCATAATAATGGGAAAAGCATAGGCTTCAGAGGCAGGAAACCCCGGCTCAAGAACTCGTTCTGTTATTGCCTGACCAGGCAGTTCCCATAGCAGCTTCCCCAGGCCTCAATTTCCTTCACTGTATAATGGTTAAAATCAGTGGTTCTGAACTTTTTGTAGACTACTAACCCCTTGAGAATTTGACAAAGGACCATGAACCCTCTCACCAGAAAATAAAAAGCAAGTATGCATATATACACACAGTGTTGCCTACAATTTAAGGAGGTTCATGGCCCTCCAGAAGTCCTCCCACAGCCCAGGTTAGGAAGTCTTGGACCTGTGGTCTTCAAAATCCCCTCCAAATCCCCATCTTAGATGTCTCGGATCCTCGCATCCAGTAATTAAGAAATCAGATAAATAGGGATTGGCAAACTATGGCTCACAGGGCAAATGTAGTCCACTGCCTGATTTTGTAAATAAAGTTTTATTGGAATATAATCATGCATATTTATTTACACATTGTCTGTGGCTGCTTTTACATACAGTGACAGAGATGTGTAGTTGCACGAAGACTGTACTGTAGCCAACAACAGCTAAAATCTTTACTATCCAGCCCTTTACAGAAATAGTTTACCAACACCCACTCTAAAATAATACAAAAGTAACTGGAACACAATTTCATTTTCCCTTGATAACCTAGAAGACACTTGATCTCACAAAGCCCCAATATCATGAGAGAAACTCAGGACTATCTACATAATAACAGAGGCATGTGTCTAGAAAAATCCCACAGAAATAGGGATTTTAGCACCTACCTTGTATTTCCATCATTAACATTTTACAAAATCTGAATATGGAAGTATCGTGTTCATTAAAAGAAATGCAAATCTGCCACCCCACACCCATTAGGATGGCTACTACCAAAAAAATAAAAAATAACAAGGGTTGGGGAGGATGTGGAAATTCTAGAACCCTTGTGCACCACTGGTGGGAATGTAAAAGGGTGCAGCCACTCTGACAGTGTGGCAGTTCCTCAGAAAAATTAAACACAGAATTACCATATGATCCAGCAACTCTACTTCTGGGTAGATACTGAAAAGAACGGAGAGTAAGGACTCAAACAGATATTGCACACACATGTTCATAGCAGCAACACTGCAAATTCACAATAGCAGAAACGCAGAAGCAATCCTAATGTCCATCAACAGATGAATGAAAAAGCAAATTGGGTACATACATGCAATGAGATATTATTCAGCCTTAAAAAGCAAGGATATTCTAACACATATTACAACATGGATGAGAACATTATGCTAAGTGAGATAAGCCAGTCACGAAAGGACAAATACTGTACAATTCAACTTATATGAGGTAGCTGGAGTAGTGCAATTCATAGAGACAAAAAGTAGAAAAGAGTGTGCCCAGGGCTGGGGTAGAGGGGGCAGGGAACAGGGAGTCATTGTTTAATGCGTACAGAGTTTCAGTTTGGAAAGATAAGAAAGTTCTGAAGACAGAGGTGATGGTTGTACAACACTGTGAATGTACTTAATGCCACTAAACTGTGCACTTAAAAATGGCTAAAATAAAAAAAAATGGCTAAAAAACACATTATGTGTATTTTACCACAATTAAAAAACCAGAAGAAACCAAATTTGTCACCCAATACTTAAAAATGGCCTCACAAAACTGTGTACACACAGCCAATGATTATGGCTTTATCAACAGCCTCTGCATGATAAGCATCATTTCTATTTGATTATTACTTGCCTGTGAAAGAAGCAGTTGGAAAATGAGAGGGCTGCTGTGATCATAAGCGGAAAAGATTCAGACCATTTTCCCTGTCTCACCACAAACAACAGATAACTATAGGCAATAGTCTGACTCTGCAGCTTCCTGTGATTTTCTCACTGGCAACTCCCAGTACAGCAAACGCCCATTAAGAATCTTAGATATGAGGAAAAATGGAATTCTTACCAAGTGTTCAAGGCCATAGTCAGCTTGGGCAATACTAGTGCTGCTAAAAGTATTTGTTTCAATGATATCTGCTCCAGCCAGCAAGTAGTCCTACAAAAAGAGATCATAACGCCAATTCTTATGGGTTTGAGAGTCCCCCCCGTCCCCAACAATAAACATGTCCTTTCATCATTACCACCAGCCACTTTTTGACTACTTACTAAGTGTAAGGCACTGCATTAGAGGATAGAGATACAAAAAGGTATCAGTATTTCACAGACAGGTACATGGTATAAATAAATAAGCACAGAACTTGAATTCAGACAGAGTTAATATGCTCAGGTTATGAGAATTTAACCAAGTTCCTTAAAATGAGTCTCAGTCTCATTTGAAAAAAAATTTTTCTCTCTCCTAAGGATTTATGAACTAAAATCATTTTTATTAATTTACAGTAGAAGACATTCATTTCCAGGGACTAGAAGATCACAACATCAAACAAAGGCAAGTCAATGGTCTTAAATGGTGTTTCTCTAAGTGCAGCCGAAAGCTGGTTAATAAGGTAGGTTTCCTAAGTCAACACCCCATCTAAGCAATCAGCTTCTTTGGTGTGGAAACTTTGAAATCTGCATTGTTAATAGCACCCCAAGCAATTCGGTGTATACTAAGTTCTTACGCAAAAAAAAAAAATCCTCATTTGAAAATACCATAAACCTACTTCACAGGATGGCTTTGTGATAATACAAAACAACACATCATATGTCTGGCACACCATGGGCACTCAATAAACATTAGTTCTGTTCCCTTACCTTCTCCCTGCTTCAGCACAACCTGATCTCACTGAGAACTGCATTGTCTCTGAGATCTCAAATACTGACCACAATTTTTTCAACCCACATCTCTTGGTCCCTCTGAACCATATCTGTCTGCACCCTTACTGGAAACTTGAGGACTTTGGTGCCTGCTCTCCTCCCTATTTGAAACCTGTCTTCCTGGTTTTATCCTTTGGACACCATCACAACCTCTAATTTGACTAGGACCTTGGGATTTCTGGACCCCCTTCATTTTCCTATAGTGAGTAAACCCAACCCCTCCTAAGCTGAACAATGTTTTCAGAAGAGCTGGGAAATGAAAACCAAAATATACACACTTATAATAACAATAAATCACAAACACCCTAAATATCCATGCTAAGTAAATGTTAAATATCCATTTCATTACATGCTATGTGATAGCTAAAAAAATATTGTGTATATCTACATATACTGAAATGGAAAGATCTTCCTAAGTATTACTGAGTAGAAAAACAAAATGGAATGATATGTAAAGCATGACACCATTAAATTTAAAACATATACAAAGTGTGTGTGTGTGTGTGTGTATATATATATATACACACACACACACACACACTTATATGCACATAAACATACATATCAATGTGTGACAAAAGGATCTGGAAAGACACACACCAACTAGTATAAGTGGTTATCTCTGGAAACAAAACAGCAATTTGGAGTAGTGGTCAAATGGGAATTCATTCTTACCAATGAGGTTTGTTTTATAAGAACAAATTAATTAATTTTTTTAAAAGTAAGAAAAATTGAAGACAACATCTAGGAATAAGGGAATTAGTTTTTGATATATACATAGAATAGGTTATTATGAAGTCATTAAAACCATGTTTCAGAATATTTAATGCTCATGGTACATAAGTAAAAAGTGCAAATTATATAACAGTATGAAGCAATATAATCCCAATTTAATTTTGAAAAATATAAGTAAAGAAAACTAGACTAAAATATAAATTAAAATACGTGAATGGTAGTTCTATCCTGGAATTTTATAATAGATGAGCGCCTACTTCCTGGTTCACAGAGAGCATCTTTTCAGTGTGTCTGCACATAGTGGAAGGGGTGGATGAATTCCCTTGGGACTCTTTTTTTTTCCAATAAGGGCACCCCCTAATACCCTAACATTGTGCATTAAGATTTAACATATGAATCTTGGGGGGACACAAACATTTAACCATAGCAGTACCCTTAGAAGAAGAAAATGAGAGCTCGCCTTCTCCCTCTGCTCTCAACCATGTGAGGATACAATTAGACGGCAATCACCAGACATAGGATCTGCTGGTACCTTGATCATGGACTTCCAGCCTCCAGAACTGTGGGAAATGCATGTGTTTGTTTAAGCCACCCAGTCTATGGTAATGTGTTACAGCAGCCCAACTAAGACACCACCTTTCAGGATTTCTTCATCAGGGCTATTATAGTAACTTAAATAAGATAGTAAGTGTGAAAACCTTAATTTGTCCAGAATCTTATGGTTTTTTACTGCAGCTTATATGCCTCAAGGGCAGAAAACCCCCTTTCCTCATCTCCTTATCCTAAGTGCCCAACACAGCACATGACTTTTATGTGGTGTCCAACACCTGCCTTCTGAATAAATCACCTCTTTCTTCTGGATTCTCCAGAGCTGCTGGGAGAGTAGTCTGCCCTTGGTACATAAAACAGCTTGTACAATAACAGAATGAATATATATAAGAAGCTGGGAATACTCTACCTTATGGATCTGATAAATGACATCGGGCTGAGTTATACTTAAAATGTCATTGTTGCCTTTCAGTGGCCTGGCATGATCTTTAAATTCTTGACCTCGGAAGCATTCTTCATTTAGCTTGTACCGCTGGATCATGGTCCCCATCCCTCCATCTAGCACCATAATCCTCTTCTGCAGAATGGCTTCAAGCTCATCCTGCAGGGTTTTCTTCACACCTGCTTTAAAGAAAGTGAAAATCTGACTTCAAAGAAGGAAAGGTGAAAAAAGATGTGTAAGGGGGAAGTGGAGAGTAATTTACAATAATTCACAAAAGGGAGTAGCTGGAGGTCATAAAAGATGTACTCATAACTCTACAGCATTAGAAAAACTCTGCCCAGAAATGTTGTCATTAAGTCATAACAATGCGGTACACAGCACAAAATCACTGGGGAGGCACCAAACCAATATTCCTGTTTCAGAGATGAGGAAAACAGGCAGCAAGGAGACAAGTGGCACAAGGCTCGGCCAGGCTGCAGCGCAAAGTCCTCAGCGCTCTCTTTCCTCATTAATTCTGTGCAGATGCTCCTTTAATAGGGAGATTTAGTGTGGATAACTGAAAACCATCAATAATTCCAAACTGCCATTTAAAGTGTTAGCTTTGGTCAAGGGTTCGAATCACCTTACTGGCCAGCTGCCCAAAAACTAAATTAAAAAAATTAACTGTTAGCTTTGATCATCTCCCCCACCTGTTGCCAGAACTAATAGCCTGCAAACAGGGTTTTACTCCCCTCTGCTCCGTCTATGAAATAATAACTGGCCACCACCCTCAAACTTCTCAATACTCTCCACGCTCCCTGACTTCTAATCCCAGCCTTGATAAGGGCCCAATGCCTACTTCTTCCAACCCTACTTTCTAACAAATATTGTCCTGTGGATTGACTGAATTGTGTTTCGCAAACTTCATATATTATAAGTTTAATTCCCATTATAATTGTTGAGAGTGGGAAATCCTATTATGGTAGTTGAAAGGTGGGGCCTTGAAGAGGTGATTAGATTGTAGGACCATGCAGTAGTGAATGGATTAATAATGGTGGTCACGGTGTGGTTCTGTGGGCTTTAAAAGGAGAGCATGTGAGAGTCTCTCTCTTTCTGCTCCACCATTTTCTGTCATGTGAGACCCCTGCATTGCTGTAAAGCCACCACCAAAGAAGATCCTTACCAGATTTGTTCCCTGGACTTTGGACTTTGCAGCCTCTGAAACTATAAGCAATAAATTTCTTCTTCTTAGAAATTATCCAGTTCCAAGTATTTTGTTACAAGCAAAAGAAATGTACTAATACAGAAAATTGGTACCAGAGAGGTGAGGTGTTGCTTATAACAAATACTTGAAAATGTGGAAGCAGCTTTGGAACTGGGTGTTGAGAGGCTAGAAGAATTTGAAGGAGCAGGCTAGAAAAAGCCTAGCTGCTGGTGGGAGTTTAGAAGACAAGAAAACCAGGGAAAGTTTAGAACTTCTTAAAGACTGGTTAAATGGTGGTGAGCAGAATGCTGATAGAAATATGGCCAGTGAAGGCCATTCTAAGATCTCTGATGTAAATAAGAAGGGACTTACTGGAAAATGGGACAAAGATCACCCTGACAAGGAATTTGGCTGCATCCTGTTTATGCCCAAAAATATTATGCAATGTGGAACTTAAAGGAGCTGACCCAGGGTATTTGGCGGAAGAAACTTCTAAGCAGCAAAATATTCAGAAAACTTCACGGCTACTTGTAACAGCCTATGCTGAGTTACGGTGGCAAAGGCATTACATAAAGCCAGAATTTAAAAGGAAAGCAGAGTGTAAAGATTTGGAAAATTTGCATCCTGGCCATGCGGTAGGGAAGCAGAGAGCTTTTTCAGGAGAAAAATGCAATGGTGCTAAGAAGACTAGTACAAAAGAAAGGGATTATCAAGAGAAGTGGGAAAGGCCCTAAAGGCATTGTAGAAGCCTCTGGGGCCAACCCTTCCATTACAGGCCCAGAGGCCTAGGGAGACAGAATGGTCTTGGGGAACATGCCCAAGGCCCCATCCACGGGCTTGCTGCCCAGGGCCACCTCAGGATGCTGCTCTCCACACCAGCACCCCAGCTGCTTCAGTTGTTCCAACCATGGCTAAACTGGCCTCAGGTGCAGCTGGACCCACAGCTTTGGAAAATACAAGTCCACGGGCTTGCTGCCCAGGGCCACCTCAGGATGCTGCTCTCCACACCAGCACCCCAGCTGCTTCAGCTGTTCCAACCATGGCTAAACTGGCCTCAGGTGCAGCTGGACCCACAGCTTTGGAAAATACAAGCTGGAAGCCCTGGCAGCATCCACCCAGTGTTAGGACTGCAGGCTCACAGAATGGCAAAGCTCTGAAGGGTTGGGAGCCTTCTCCCCAATTTCAAAGGATGTATAGAAAAGCCTGCGGGCCCAGGAAGATATCTGTCACAGGAGTGGATTCACTGCAGACAGCCTTCACTAGAACAATGCTGAGCAGAAACGTGGGGTCAGAGTTGCAGCAGAAAAACCCCAACATGCCTAGTGGAGCTGTGGAAGTGGGACCACCACTGAGACCCCAGATCCGTGGAGCTACCAGAATGGAACACTAGCCTGGGAGAGCTAAAGTGTGGCCTGAGACCAGGAAAGCCATAAGAGCGGAGTTGTCACTGGACTTGGGGACCCAACCCCTACACCAGTTTGCAAAAGACATCCAACAAGGTACATGATTCACCAGCTTTGAGATTTAACGCCTGCCCTGCTGGCTTTCAGTCTTGTTTGGGACCTGTTATCCCTTTCTTTTGGCCTGTTTCTCCCTTTTGGAATGGGAATATGTACCCTATGTTTATATCTTGGACGTAGATAACTTGTTTTGATTTCACAGATGGGACTTTTGAGTTGAAACAAGTTAAGACTTTGTGGATGAAATGAATGTATTTACCTGCAAGAAGGAAATGAACTTTGGGGGCCAGGGGCAGAATGCTGTAGACTGACTTTGTCCCCCAAAGTTCATATATTAGAAGCTTAATTCCCAGTGTAACTGTTGACAATGGCAAATCCTATTATGGTAACTGAAAGGTGGGGCCCTGAAGAGGTGATTAGATTGTGGGGACCATGCCCTAGTAAATGGAATAATCCATTGACGGTTTAATGGTGGTCATGGGCATGGTTCTGATGGCTTTAAAAGGAGAGCATGTGAGAGTTTCTCTCTCTCTCTCTCTCTTTCTTTCTCTCTCTCTTTCTCCTCCACCATTTTCTGTCATGTGAGACCCCTGCGTTGCTGTAAAGCCACCACCAAAGAAGACTCTCACCAGATGTGTTCCCTGGACTTTAGACTTCCCAGGCTCAGACTGTAAGCAATAAATTTTGTTCTCTTACAAATTACTCAGTTCCAAGTATTTTGTTATAAGCAACAGAAATGGAAAGCCACCAAAAAACAATACTAGAAAGCCACAAAACTATGTTGACTGGAGCCACTGAAAATTCACAATGTGGGGCCCCCTCTTTGGTTCACCTTTTCTTGACTTCCCTCAACACTTCCGACATCTACTCTCCCAACCTCTGCTTTCTTTTCACACCAATCCTTCTCTTCCTTCTCACTCAACAGGGACTTTACCTAATCCCTTACAAAGAGGTCTTCTGTTGGAAGCTCCTCAAAGTCAGCCCCTGTCCACCAAAATCCTCTGGCAGCTTGGCTCGCTCTGTTTTCCTTCTCCCTGTACCTAAAAGCACAAGATCACCACCACCCCAACACCTCCCACTGCTCCCCCATATACTCTTCCACCTCCTGCAGTTACACCTCAGCACCCACAGATTCTTTATCTTCGTGATGTGGCTTCCTCCTCTGCCACTCTCTTGAAATTACTTTCTGAAGTCACCAATGACCTTCTAACTATCAAAAACACTTAGCCCCAATCTTAGAGCCAGATTTCAAACTGGCCAACTGATAGTGCCACCTAGAATATTCACCTGCCCCTCAGTCTAATACTCAAAACCAAACTTGCCATATTCCCTGCTGATGTCCCTATTTTTGTGAATGGCAATACCCTCACCAGAAGCCTAACCTTAAAATCTCAGTATTAACTGACTCCTTTTCTCCCTCATAATTAACATCTTAGATCCCAAGCTTTACAGATTTGGTCCCCAAAATGCCATTTACACTGGTCCCACCTTCCATCCCCAGCACCAACCCCTTTCTTCCAACCCCCTTCTTCAAGTCCTCACTACGCATGCCAGCCATCACTAATCATCTCTGAGCTTCAATCTGCATCCATGCAAATGAGGTCATAGACGGGGAGTTGCTTTGTAAACTATCAAATGTTCTACAAAGGTAAGAGATCACCACCATACCTGTGTTCTAATCCACCCTATGCACCACTAACAGATTAATCTTCCCATAGAACAGCTTTAAACCAGTTGTTTCCCTTGCTCAAACACCTTCAACAGCTACCTACTGCCTACCAAAGTTAATACAAGTTACTCAAAACAAACTATGACAACAGCAATCTGTCTTGTCAACATTTCCTTCTATGCTCCAAGAGAGGAGCAATGCTCAAGTCAAACAGGACTGGTTCAAAGCTATTTGAACTCCTTCGAGGAAAAGACTGTGGTTAGATCCATTCATCTCTATCCCTAGCAACACCAAGGACAGTACCTGGCACCTATGTGTTCAATTAATATTTCCGTAAGTGAGATGACAAAAAAGTGAAGGAAGGTGAGAAAAAAGAGGCAAAGATCATTTAAAACCCAAGCCAGAAATGTAAGAATATGTGTAAGCTGGCATTGGGTGCAAACTTACAACTCTGCCTTGTCTTACTGTCCAGTCTCAGGTGTGCAATATAAAAAACAGGGGCTAACTGGTGGGCACCAAGCTATTTTGAGTGATTTGTTCCAAAAAAAATAAGAAAGGCTTCAGGAAGGTTGCTCTAGTAAACCTGGAAGAGAAATTTGCAGTATCCAATATCTGGTTTCTTTCCCAAAGGGTATTGTTTCTTTCAGGGCCTACTATTCCTTTCCAAAGCCAAATTACTGGCTAATTGTGTTTACTGAACTTGCAGGTGAGAGAAAACACTTTCTGATAAAGGAACAAAGTTAAGAGCCAATGATCTGACCAGTACTACTTCACATACCAAAGGAAATCCCTTCTTGGGAAATGTGGAGAAAAGGTAGGCTTAATAAGACATGATAACAGAAAAACTGGTAAGCCTCAGGTGGT